AAATATTTAATTGGGGGGGTGTGGGGGTTGTGTTTTGGGGGTTTTTTTTTGGGGGGGTTGGTTTTTTTGTTTGTTTGTTTTTTGTTTTTTTTTACTTTAAAACCACTTTTAGCAACAATTTTTCTTCCATTAGCACAAGTTTGCAGATGCAACAGAGGATTATGGATAGCAGCTATTTGTTCCATATCAACTAAGCCACCAGTCAGATGAGCTATCAGATTTTACATTATGTTATTGATTCAAGGAGATCTGAACCCAACCTATACTTAAACCAGAGAGACACAAGAATCAGCTTCTGGAAGCAAGCACATAGGACAATGCTGGGACACTGACAAACAGCTGCAAACAGACCTGTGATTTATTGTAGGCTCTCAAACACTGCTGTTGGGATGGTGATAGAGAAAAATCTTGAAAACAGTAAATACAGTCCACTCAGAAATAATGTTTTGGGCTTTATTTACCGTCCATTTGTCTGAGAATGGTATAGCATGAAGAAAATGGAAGCAAGCCATCTCTAGAGGTTCTTGTTTAGGATCGGCTCTAAGGATATGGTTCCACTACAGATAAAAATCAGTCAGATAAAAATCTGACATAAAATACAAAAATACAGATAAAAATCAGGACAGTAGAGGTTTAGACTTTTATTGTCCTGACGATGCCTTCTTCCACTGCAGAGCTGCACAAACATCAGTGCTGCTGAAGCAGCTGAAGATCAAGGATGCAGTTCCACAAGGTGGTCTAAGCAAAATTAGCAGCTTAGCACTGCTAAAAATAGGGCATCCCTCCATCTCCTCTCCTGCCTGCTCCCTGTTCCATGCACAGGCCCTCTCTTGCACTGGTTCTGGTGCATACTGATTTCAAACCAGGTTTCCTCAAATTACTGAAAGCTGCACAAGACTAACTCAAAAACCACAGTATTTTGTGCTGGATAAGTGAGCCACATTGGCTTACTTAGTGATTATACAACTGTCAGTTTGGTGTAAGAGGAATAATCAACCACATAGCTGGAAGGTAGAGAGGAGACCAGACAAAGCCAAGAGCTCAGTGTCTGAGTAGCAGAGGGCTGCCACCTTCATCCAGCTGTCACGTGAAGCCACAGCGCGATCTTTATGAAAGATGTCCCTGATTGAACTGGCTGGATGGTCAGAGCTTTAGCGTACATTCAAAGGAGAAGGCAGGCATGTACAGCCATACTGTCATATTCAGACACTGAAACCTTCTAAACCAGCCATTGACAGAGGCAGCCCATCATTCCTCTTCATTCACATCCACCCACAGATGCCCCAACCCCATACTCACGTTGGGCTAACAAGATTAAGGAAATGACTCAGGTTAAAGCTTTTATTTTTTCTCCTTATTTAGCTTTAGCCCCTTTCAGTTCCCTATCTGGTTCATCATGCAGCCTCAAACTCACACAGGGAAAACCAAGGCAGGAATGAACAACCAGGCAGAAACACCCACCTTCGACAGGATCAACTTCAACTGCTTGCTGAAATACAGTGAAAGCACACCAGAAATACCACATACTTGCTTAGCTCATTTTAAAGTTAAGGGCTCATCCACACTGCGACATGAGAAAATAAGGACAGGTGCAACTTCATAATATAACATAGGCTCGCTTCACTCCAAAGCAACCATAATTTCTAATGATCATACCCTGCTCCAGACATAGCTAAGAGATATAAAGTATGGCCATTCTCCATATTGTCACTATCTTCCCAAGTTTTGTGCTTTACTGAATCTGAAAGGCAATATTACCTCTGCCTTGACCGAACCTTTTGTGATTGAGCACAACTTTTATTGGCAAGTTAAATTCAAAATGGCCCAGGCCACATAAGGATGAGCTTTAGTAGGTTCAATAGGTGCAACAAATAAGGCAGGAAGCATACTACTCCACACATTACCCACTACCATCACTAGACAGGAACACCAGGTCTTTTTGGATGACAAAACCTAATACAAGTCCACATCTGATGACCGTGGTATTCAAACCCTGTAGCTGGATTGGATACAGTAAAAAAAATCCCACAAGGGACTCTCTTAAGTCAGTTACAACTTAATTTGTCCACATTCACCTCATGCAAATTGGCACATGTCCTCAATGTAAGAAAAAAAAAAAAAAATAAAATTCTTCACACCATGAGAACTATTCAATATTGGGTGAGACTGCCCAGAGACATGATGGAATCTACCTTGCAGAAAATATTCAAGACTACGCTTGACCGTGCCTCGAATGATTTAATCTAAGACCCTACTTGCAAAAGAAGCCCTGACTAGATGATGTCCAGAAACCCTTCTTTGACCTAGACTTCTCTTTAATTTGATATTTCTACACATAGCTTTCTCTCTCTTCCATCATCCTTTTGAAGTCCATATATCCTATTATGCTTTCAATCATTCTCTATTGCAAGATGCATAAAATGCCAGCAGTAGAGTTAGATATATTCACCACTTCTACAATAGTTTTCTTGTGAGTACAACTCCTCACACCTGCCCAAATGTAGAAAGACCTACTCATCAACACTATAAAATATTCCGAGCAGAAGCATTTATTTTTCCTTATGCTTTCGTTCCACAGACTGTTTGCATACAGAATGCAAAATTTCTGCAAAAAAGCTTTAAAGAACTAAATGTTTATAGAGTATAGCCTATTGATTGACATGTATCTGCGGATAAGGAAATAAGATTCTTTCTGCAGCCTCATATAGTCAACAATTCTCTGAACAAAGTTCTTAAAAATTCGTAGCAGAATCCTCCAACGTTTTGTGAAGGGAGCTCTTATACAATTATCCTAAATGAAAGCACCCCAATAAAATGTAAACTGAATTTTACAGAGAACAAAATAAAGCATTTACTAAAAAGACGTCAAAATGATCCACCAAGCATAGTACACAGATTTGGGCAAAGAAACTGTCGCTCGAATTCCTTCCATAAGTATTTTTACTTGAAATAAATCTGTGTAAATTCATTACTGTATTAGATGCCTGTTACATTTTTCATCAGTTTCATTAATAAAATAAGCGTTGTATTACCATGTCTTCTTTTCCTGAAGTAAAACTCTTGGTGATTCACATTTATCATTGCTCTGGAGACCGCCCAATAGGTTAACATTTTCAAGAAATCAAGTAAGGCATGTACTACCATACTTCCTAATTAGGGAGGATAACTTGCAGTCTCTAAGCAATGAGATCTGTATGGATCAGAGGTGCTCAGTAGTTTACCTGAAGTATAGCATATAGCATCCATAATTTTATAAATACATAGATATAAGTGTTGTAAATGTACAAAATAAAAGCATTAATTCTCTTTAGTTTATGCTGACACCAGATTCTGTAGTTATTCTTTTTAAGCAGCCATGATGTCCATTAGCAGGTCAAACAGTTAAAGTTAATTGGCAAGAATTCTACATTAAGACAACTCAGTAGTATAAATTATGTAACTTACCAAATTATGTGACTGGGGAAAAGCATATTTTGTGAGGACTTCAAATATATCTCTTCTACTGTGCCCTTCTTGTTTTAATGCAAACCGTAAATTTCTCATATCCTAAAACAAAGGCATTATCTTGTAAGTGAACCAAAGCAGTAAGATATCTTTACCTGATGTACAAATGCTCTATTATACACCAAACATGATTTAGAATCTGCTCGCAACACACTTGAAACCATTGTGAATACTCAAGTTTTATTTTTCATCCTATAAAATAGAATAGAGCATAAGAATTCTACAAATAAAGCAGTACCACCTTCTATGTGGTGCAAACACTGCTTTGGCATAAAGCTATCAGAAATGACCGTATCTGATTCACTAAAAAGTCTCCTGGGCTACTGAATGTTTGCAGGATGGGAGTTACTCTGTTTTCAAAATGAAAATTTGCCAATAATCTGTCTAGACTACATTATCCCCAGCTATTTTCTCATCACTAACGTCAAAAATAAGCAATCTGTGCATTAACTACTGAGAATCAAATGTGTATACATATTCCATTAATAAGTCAAATAAAGGATCCTGAATTATCCACAGGGAATTCCTCTATGACCGTATTTTTTCATGGCAACATAATTTTTTTGTGAGACTAAGGAAATAAAGATAGCTGTTACATAAGCTTTTCACTGCCTTTACAGCTTACAAAACCCCCTTTTGAGATGTTCTACAAGGATTTTAGAATTATAAAAAAAATACATTAGAACAAATGAAATAATGAAGCAATGCAGTAATAACACCCTAAAACAAGACTACCCTGCAAAACTTCTTATCAATTAGTGTTTTGGAAAGGAAGACCAATCCCTCTCCTTGCATGCAGACAGGACAGTTAAACAGCCCTTTATATAAAAGGTATTTCCCTGCCCACTTTCAAAAAGCTCTTTTTAAATTCAGCTATGAGAAACACGTGTTTTTTATTTCTATAAATAGGTAAGCAGTGAGAAAAGGAACCTCAAGATTTCATTTCCTATTGAATTATTGGAAAGTCTTACTTTACAGGTTATATCTAATCCATAAGAGTTCTCTCCTCTGCTTGAAGCTCCTCCCATTTTTTCAATCCTTGAAATTACGCCCAGTGGAACATTCAATACCACAACTGGATCCTGCAAGGAAAGTTTGAGCAAGGAAAAAATTAATCTGAAAAAAAGACTCAAGCAACATGTTTTTATGCATTCTAGAAAAGAAAGCAGACGTGAAATACATACAGGCAGCAAAAATGTATTTCTGTGTTTGATTGAGTCTCCCCTCCCAACATGTTATGAAGTCCATACAGCCTTGAACATCATCCAGTCTGACATGCAACAAAAATACCCCATGCCTAATACAGTATGCAGGGAAAAAGGTGGCAACACCCTGAAAGATGTCTTCCGCTATAATACTTCTGATTGCCTCTGCTTACTAAGACTGCTTTATTGATAGAATTTATTGGTAGAACAAAATGAAAACAGAGATTACTAGTAGAGTTCGCTGCAACCAGAAAGACTTCAGAGTACTAAGTCCTTATAGTCCTAAAACCTTATTTAAAAAAAAAAAAAATTATGAAACAGATAACAAGCATATTCTACTCTTTTTCATGTTGCTGCTTATCAAACACACTACTACTCCCCTCACCCACATGAGGTTCTATTGATGAGAGTATTGTTCTTCTCCAACAGCAAGGACAATCAAAATCTTTGTTTACTGATAGCCATTTTAAGAACTATTGCACATCATTACTTGCTCCCCGTGATCTATCACAGATTAAGTATGAAGGGAACAGCTACCAAAAAAGCTCCAACAGACAAAAGATAAAAGTATCAGTTCAGCGTGATTAAACTGTAATTTTACCAGGCAAAATTCACACTTCTACAACACATGTGACTTCTTTAAAGACCTTCCATCTTTATACAGATTTCTCAGTGGCACAAAGGCAATTCCTATTCAGTCATTACACGATTAAGATATGGTTATTACAAACATTACAGACCATTTCAAGTAAAACCCCTCCCATGCAATTCCACAAGCATACATGTGCCAAAACTAAAACAAATGAACTGGCCACAAAATAAATCAAAGACAGTGAGGGTGAAGGGAAGGGGGTTTAAAGCCAACTCATCTCATGGAAGTAATTGTGGCATATTACTCACATTTTCCACACTTCTTAGGTACAGCCTGTAGTTTGTGATGTACACTCTTCCTTTAACGGGGCCATTAAATGGACACATATAAATAACATCCTTGTCTGTAAGAAATGCAGCATTTCTTAAAGATTGCGAAAAGAAAGAATCAGAGCTAAGGACAGCATCAGTTAAGTATCAGTAAAATAAAGAGCACTGCACTTATAAGAGCCACTCTGAGAGATTAATGAATTTTAAAAGTAATAAACCTGAATTTTGTCCACTTGAATTATTAAGAAAATGTGAAAGTTTCATATACTAAACTTGCCCAAATATTTCAGTAGCCTTCCCTAGTTATGTTTGTGTCCCTCTCCTTCTCAGCACCACATGGGAGAGGGCAGGACATAGAACAGCGAGTAGATTTTAGTCCTCTCTGTGATTACTGAACCAGTCTATTCATTATCCCAGAACAAATACATTCTTCTGTTAGTACTATTATATCTTTCAGTGCTCTGTAACCAATTCTGTATTGAAGTACGTAGTTCAAGTTGCAAAGTGTTTAGGGGACTCACCATCCCGAAGAGAAACATTAGATTTCAATTTGAGGCAATCAAATACAGCAGGGCCATCAGCAGTGTTTCAGCAAGGACAGTAACAAAATGAGTACTAACACATACTACTCAGAAAAGAAAGATTTAAGTCTTTAATGGCACTGCTTCAGTTAAGTGACACACTACAAACCACCTATTTCTCCCTGTCCACTCATTTCTTTAGCCCAATGTATTTAGCTGCCTTGCTTTAGCAGCCTCCTTCCAGGGTGCTGCCCCAAAGCACAGACAATTTTCATAAGGATCACACCAAACATCCATCTTAGTCCCACACCCTCTCCCGCATGCCTTCCTCACAACTTCCCTCATTTAAAACCTAACTACTTCCTCTGAATCACCTCTTTGGTTTTACTTCAGCCAGTCTTGTTTACAAACCCACCTAGCAAATCCTTGGGCAGGGAGGAAGAAGAAGCTTCACAAATAAAAGACAGACCGCTTTCAGTTGCGTTCTGATACCTCAACACAAAGTTCCATGAGTGGAAGCCTCCATTCTAGGAAGAGCCTCCATCAAGAAACCACTGTACACAATACATTAATCTTCCTTACACTACAACATTACTGTATGCAAAGGCTAACAAGTGCATAGTAGCTATGTGCATGCCATGTTGTGTCAAGGAAGCACAAGACTGTACTTGGGGTAGTCACAGTCTGGGCTAAGGTTCCACACTACTGTACAAAGATACCAGTGGGTTGAAAACAGAAGAGCTGAGGTACCAACAGGCTGACTCCCGTTCTTACTTCTGCCATCAGAGTGGTTCCCGAGAATGTTTATCAATATGGTGATAGGCGCTTTATATATATAAATATATATATTAAAAAAGTGGGTGGCATGCAGAATTCTCTTGACTTTGGAAAGCTTAGAGAGGCTCTCATCGCTAAGACATGTGCTACTTAGTCTGTAGATACAATTATGACACATCTTGACTTGCAATTTCTTTGCATCAGAGCATCTGCCATGTGTGGAAACCAAGATTTTAAAGACTTAAAAGTTATTTGTGATAAATGATAAAAAGTCCCTATTGCAATTACTTAAAAAAAAAATCCATAATATTTAAGCATGATTTACCCCCATTCCCAGCCCAAAACAGTTCAAATCATGAAACAATCCAGTAAGATACATGTATATGTCAGACTCCTAAACAGACACCGCATTAGGTAACTATATAGTTTCATACCTGTGACTCTAGTCTCTCCTGGCAGACGAGGTATTTCTTCATTTTGTTCCCAGTTAGTTCCATCTTTTAGAGTCTAAAGAAAGAAATACAACAGCATATCATATTTTATTTACAATTCCTTCAAGTTCCAGATTAAAAAAAAAACCTTAAAGACAATTTCTGCACAGGAAAGGACAGGTTTTTCCATGGCAGAAACTGACAGATTGAACCAAAACAGGAACACACACCACTATCCTAAACTGTAACTGTTAAACATTTAAAGGTTGAACAGATCTGAAACACAAGCATGTTTTAGTCTTTCTAAGAGAATAACTACATTTGCATTAAATTGGAATTAAATTTCTATACTCTAAGTTCTCAAAGTTTTGTGCATTTCATTTTCTAAGTATGCTGGGCTTGGAAGAAAAAATCAACTGAAATCACGTAAGCAACACACAACTATTACACACAATCTACTCATTTGTAACTTTCCCATGTTCAGTAGTTTTTAGGAATGATTAATAGAAAATAATCTTTGTTTTTGAAGAAATGCTTAAAAAACCAAAACCTTAGTTTATGCTTTCTTGCACACAGGTTACATTTTGTTCAGCCATGCAGGACCAAAAAGCCGTTTAGATTGCTTTAAAGTATTTCCCACTACAGAGGAGCATTTTAAAACTGAGCCATCCAAACATATCTAGGTACAACTTATCAACTGCAGTACAGAATCTTTCTACAGCATCCAAGTGCCAAAAATTTTCAAGAATGCCACAGAATATTCCAATCTAGAAAGCAAGGATAAGAGTAAGTATATGAGAATTGATATTAAGGAGTCCCTCTTTAACTTGCGATACAGAGAGTATTTTGCCCATCCACTCTGAAAGATAATTAAATCAACTGTTAACTGCATTAGAACTTTAGCAATAAAAAGTAAGTGTATACATTCAAGAAAAATGTCATTCAAATACTCATTTTTCTACCCAAATATGGAAGGTAATGAACTCTGGGACCTCTCATGTAAAAAACATGAAGTTACACTCACCCTTTTACTTGAAGAACTCTCCAAGGAGTTTGAATTATATTTAGGTGTTGATGATGAGGCCATACCGGGTATCTGATGAGAAAGCACAGATTGGAGACTTAAACTTCTTCCTGGACTACACACTATTTACAGGAGAGATTTTAGACTCAAAAGGTGGACATCAAGAGCTTCCAAGAATGCTTTGCAAGTTACTATTAATTTTTAAAATTACACAATACCTTGTAATTGAAGGTCACTATTTAGAAGCATCCAAATTTAACAAGAAATTAATTACTAGCTCTGGACCGTACGGAATATTCTGACTCAAGCTGTATTTTGGAATTCAGTTGTTTGAATACTATTATTAGTTCAGTCAACAGACATTAGAGTGCTTGTTTTAAGCGACAGGATACACACACTATGAAATGCAACCTACTTGGAACATTCGTACTAAGACTTTTCATTTAGGAAACCAGGAACAAGCTGTAAAATTATTATACAGCTCTTGAAATCACGCATGTCAATACACTCAAGTGTATTTTAAAAAAAAAAAAAAAAGAGAGAAGGAAAAAGCAGGAGTTTCACAGTACTTCTACATTTAAAAATAATCCCCCATTTCATAAACTGAAACTTCAGTTAGCACACCAGAAGGGGGAGTGTCCAGCCCTCTGGTCTGAATAGCCTTGATATGTTTAAGGGAAAAGGATTTTTTTTTTTTTTTTTTAAATGGTATTGATTAAAGACAGAATCACATGATGCAGGATTCATCTTCTTAATCATTTCCTGTCATTGCACAAGGGATCTCTAGCACCAACACTGGGAAAACGCTCATACTTGAAGTTACTCCAAACAGTAACTTCGTACCGAATTATACTTCCCTTTCACTAGTCCCCCACCCTTCATCCAGCCGCTAGGACATCCTACAGCAATCTTGAAGAGTTTTTGTTTGTTTATTGGGGGTGGAGTGGGTGCGGTGTGATTACACACCACGAGATCTTCGTTTCTATTCTATAAATGAAACCTTGCAGCCTTAAATAAGCACTTTCTCTCCCCTCTCAACACTGCAAAGTTTGCACAGATTTCTCTGCACCACACCAAATCAGCCCATGCTCTGCATAACAGCGGGCTCACAGTGACACTGCAACAGTCCTACATGAGCAATAGTGAGAGATGAAACAGCAAGATCCAAAATGCTTTGAAGTTACTATAGCAATACAGGAACATGTCTGTGCAGAAAGAAGGTGGAAAACCATGAGCTGAAGTTCTACAAGTTTGTTACCTCCTTACAGAACCCAAGTCTTCCACACCTCAAAGAAAACATAGCAATTGTGACATAGTGTTTACAGCTGTAGTATTCAGTGATACAGATTATCAGCATAAAAATCACACCCCTCCACAACAAAAAAAAAAAAAAAAAAAAAAAAAGGAACCCACATTAAGTTTAAAAATGACAAAAAATGCTTTTGAATGCCGCAGAGCCAGTGAGACCCTGTCAAACGGAGGTATTCCTTCCTTTCTGGGTCTCCAGCAGTCTCAGCTTTCTCCAAACAATGAAACAGAAGGGTCCTGAACTAATTTTAGTGCAATGCCAACAATTTAAATGAAAAGCTATTAACAATCAACATTAAATCACTGTTCTTTCAAACTACCCTCCACAGAAAAATTATTGCAACACTGGAGACTAAAGTCTTGACTGAGAAGATTAACAGAAGCTATTTTCAGTTTTTCCTTCCTTGCAGTATCTTGTATACTATGAAACTTAAGGTAGGTTTATCTTTTTCTATATTGCTATGTTAATTTGTGAACATTCAGTATTTTTTTCAGATGACTTTCCTTAATTTATAGAAGCTTAAGTTTTCTAATAACCATATATTTATAAAGGTAAAAGGTGTATTTACTCAAAAGCTTGTTTTAAAATATTTTCCATATGAAGTGGGGCTCGTTCATATTTTAAGTGAGAAATACCAGGTGAGACAGAGACAAAGGCACAGCAGCCCCAGTTTTTCTATGTAAGCATAGAAAGTGGTTTTAACTAGACCTCACTTAAAATTAAATTATGGCTGCACCAACCATGAGCAAGAAGTGAGCATAAACAAGCACTAGAAAAGTGATTTTTAAAAGATGTGGCAACCCTGAATAGATGTGCACTGCAAAACGGAAAGTTTGACTGTGGCAGGTATAGGCACACCCAAGCTCGCTGTTGATCTTGCAACCACAGCTACTCCACCAGCAAAGCTGCCAAAAGACAAGCTTCCGCAGGGGTCACAGGAGCCCACCCAGTTTCCAACACTCTTGCCTTGGTGCCAACCCCCTGCTTAAGCTCATAAGAAAACAAAAACTCTCTGGACATTCCTTACGCCCTTCAATACCACCTCCAAGAGTTGCGTACTTCTGCTGCTCACACAGGGAACAGCATGAAGTGTTTAACAGCCTTCTGTTTCCTCCTTTGCTTTCTATATTATTTCCTTCCTTACTGCAAATTCACTAAATTCTGTCTGACCTGTAGCATTACATGAGGCAAATTAGGATTCTGAAATAATCATCTGACCCCAGAACAACAACTATAACTTTTCCCAACCTCAGTGTAAATTAAATACGAATAAGCAGGGATCCTTTCAGTTTCTCAGAAAAATTTCTCCTTGTAGACCCTGACAATCCAGCGGGACAGAGCTCCCCTCCCCTCCACGCTGCCACCCCACCAGGCCACTTCAAACAAACAAAATACCTGTGCAGCTCCTGCAGCAGACCTTTGCGTGCCTGTTTCTGTGTATTTAAGTTTACTTAGGGTAAAATTCCCCCTAATCTCCATGAGACTGATTTTTTTAAACATACTTTACAGTGAGAATGAATTCACTGACTTCACTTTCTATAGTATACTTCATTATAGAATTACAACCAAGTACTGTTTCATTTCCAACACTTTAATGATGGAAATCAAGCTTATTCAGAGCTAATTAAGTTGAATAAATATGTGCTGAAGATAAGGTATTATCAGTCAGGTTTTTTTTTTAATCCATCAAAATTTCACTAAAATTAATGCAAGTTATTTCATTAGTATATAACAGAAAGAATTCTTCTAATGTTACCTAAATTTTGCTTTGAAATCCGATCACACTTTAAAAACACAAACACTAAGAAGCGCAATTATAACCATCCCCATTTCCCTGATTTCTAAAGTAAACTACAGTCAAGGAATTAAACTTTACATTAGGGAACACCCGTCAGACAGCATTTAGCCCAGTGTCCACTTCTGGACCCCAGTGCAAGACAGGCATTGCTAAACGGCAGCACGCTCAGCAGGGGGGCACCAAGAGGACCAGGACCCAGAGCACCTGCCCCAGAACGAGAGGCTGAGGGAGCTGGGAATCGTCCAGCCCAAGGAAGAGACAACTTCAGTGGGACCTCACAGCTGCCCACCAGTACCTCCGAGGTGGTTACTGGGAAGACAGAGCCAGCGTCCTCAAAGCGGTCAGTGATGAGAGGACAAGACACAACAGAAACTGAAACAAACTGTATTCGAGCTTGATTTAAGGGAAAAAAAATCCAACCAACCCTACTTTTGCACTGTAAGGGCAGTCAGGCAGTGAAAACAGGGCCCAGGGAGGTTGCAGTCTCCATCCTCAGAAGCTTTTAAGACCCAACTGAATAAAGCCTTGAGCAACTGGGTCTGATCCTGCTTTGAGCAAGGGGTTGAACTAGCAGCCTCCTGAAGTCCCTCCCAACTTGCCTTCCCTATGCTTCTGTGATCTTCAGGCAACAGACAAGATTAAGTTCTCATTTAAAAGTGCCCATCAAACAAGGACACACCCTTAAAGAAGTGGGCTCCCCTAGATCTAAAGAGCAAACAAGTTTTCAAAAACATTTAAAATGAACATGAAATATTTCCTTTTACAGTATTATTTTTCTGTCAAATTGTAGCAGCAGCTTCTGGCAACCTCCCAAAGTAACATTGCCATGAACAATTAAAAACCATACTCCATCAGAGTCTTAAAATAGCTACAACTTTCTCATTATCATGGAGCAGCAGTAGTCCTTCCACACAGGGAACAAAAATTGGCAAGTAGTTTTCCACTGCAAACATATTTTATTCCCCAGTATCACCCGTGTCTTCTATACTTGCACAAAAATTGAAAACCATACAAACCTCACGCTTGTCAGCAGCTGAAGTACAATTACTCTGCAAATTTAAAACAAATCAGACAAATTTGTTTATGACATTCTGCCGTTACAAACAGTTGAATATTCTTTCCTGAGTCTAGAATAGCAAGGAGACAAAGCAATTTTACTGGATTTAACTTGAATAAACAAAGCTTTGCTAAAGTTACCAGAACTTAATATAGTAACACTACCAAGAAATGTCGGCTCTGATGATCTTACAGTAACAATTAAACTACTCGGATCTGTATTTTCATTAAAGATTATATTTATGCTTGTGCTTCCTAGGATTCATGGGAATGGAGGCACGACAACATTTGAAAGGGTAGGTGCTGAAGGCCGGATTTTAAGTAGTAAGTTCAAGGATCCTATCTGCTCTTTATGAATAAATGCTGACACACACAAGCACATGCCCAGGCAGAAAATCTAAACAAACTTTAAAACACGTAAATAAGCTTTTGAGGGTTAAGAAAACTGAAATGACCAGCTACTCCTTCCTTAAGGGTCTTCACTGCCAACAACAGGTTAGAGGATGCGTGCAGCATGTCTTGGAAAGACCACCAAGAGTCTTAGAAGCCATGTTTCGATTGACAACAGCCTAGTGAAACTAGTTCTCATTGCTTATGATCCAGGAACAACTTAAAGCTCATTTGACATTTTGCTGGTCCTTTTAGGGCTTCATCTTCACACCAGAATCACACCAAATAACTTGTAACTACTGTATAACTGAACCATGCTTGCATCAGCCTAAAATCTTTACATGTATAAAGAATGGTTTGCCCAAACACAACATAACCCACATCTGCCAAAGGATTACTACCACAAACACCCGAGATCAAGTAAACCCCATCAAGTAAATTGTGAGCACCATTTTCCAGATATTTAATATTTTTGACCTTCCATCGCTGGATTAAAACTTCGGAAAAAAAGACACTTTC